GGAGGGGGAAGGAGCAGAGGAGGGGGAGGAGTGGAGGAGCCGCCGCGGAAGGGGGAGAAGCAGCGGCAACTGACGTGCAGTTGCCTCCGCTTATTTGTACGACTTCCAAAAACATAGTTCTCCTTTCAAGTTATGCAAAGCAAATCTGCAACTTCGACTTATTGGCAATAACATGTTGTTTGCTGTGTGTTCCATCTGTCTCGTTGCTTGACAAAAAATATAGGTTTATGCCCAAACGTTTGTGACAACGGCCAATCCATGTCCTATGTGACAGCCTTAAAACCCGTTTTTCAAAAAATCAGCATAAAGTTTTCTATTCGAGTCCAGTTTTCACGAAATGTCTACTTTTCACGAAGTGCATGTTCTTGGTCGTAGAGTTGTCGCTGTTCTTTACACCGGAGTGTCATGATATGGTTTGAAGCGGCTGAAATTTGAAGTATTGTTGCTGCTGTTATAGTCAGATGTTGTTGTTGGCCATCGTGACTGCAGGAAAGGCCACTGCCTACTGGTACGAACACTGCCACGATCTAATAGCAGTGTTGAATCCCAACTTGTCGCAGCAGCCATTCTTCAGGCCGCCACACTTAACTTTATGCAGTTACAGCCTTCAGCAGCAGTGGTAAATTATTACCAAGTTGCTGCAGCTTCGAGTAATGGGCCGCAGTTATTTCACTGACAGTGTACGGCTGTTGAGTTTTGTGCTGCACTATGACTTAGCACTACTGTACCTCTGTTGATTGTGCACGTTGCATTCGCTGTGCACAATTGTTGAGTTTTCCTGTGTTTGCACCGTGCATTACCACAGCAACCTCTTGCTATGCATTGCTGAGCGCGGTGAGTTATAAGTTCTTGCTGAGTTGCTGCATTTTCACCTGTGTTCTGAATAGAGCACAGGGGGTGTGCTATTCAGAACGCAGTTCGTCCAGACTGCGTAACTCCAGTTTGGTCAGAGGCCTTAAAGCGCTGTGAGTTGGACGGTGGTTGGTGCATGGGTAACGGGGTACTGCGAACTTCCAAGTCTTCAAGGGTCTCACCTTCTGCCTTCAGACCACGGTTTTGACTGTAGACTTAGTGTTTTGGCCATCATTGCGGGCTTTTGGATCTGAGTGACTCGATGTCTCTTTCTCTACCCTTCTTTCTCTCAGTCTAGTCAAGTGGTTACGAGAGGAAGGCGGCAGGCGGGATTGGAAACCCATAGGACCGCATCAAGGGCGAGAAGAGGCCGGCGAGGGGAACAAGGGTGATTGAGGGCGTGTGGGGAAGGGTCTGGCGATGGAGGGGATGCCGAAGGAGAATAAGGGGGCAGAGGATTACAGGGGTGGGTGCAGGGCAGCCTCACTTCTACGAGGGTGCTCCTGTTTTGGTTTGGCAAAGGCGTGGAGAAGCATTCTGATGGTCTGAGCCGCCACTTCTTTTCCTGAAGCATATCGGGGCCAGCGCTCCCACTTGTTCCAGGTTGGAGCATGACGTTACCCAATCCAGGGTTGGAAGGCCCCGTCCCAAGGCAGGTAGGCATGATGCTCGTGTAAGTTGACTGTGAGATGTCGTCGAGGTCCGAGTCAGCCATCAGAGCGTCCCGTTTCCATCTGTTTTCGATTTCGGGGTGGATGAGCGAGCGTGGTGTGCCCGTATCCGTCTTTCATCGTGTATTGTCAGACAGGGTCAAAAGGCAGTGTGCAGATCGGAGTGGACATCTCATGAGTGCCTGTGTCACCGTCACCCACTACTCGAATCCTGATGAGACTATCCTGAGGGCATGTGCGATCCAGGTCCTGGTTTCTGCGCAGGCGGGCCCATCTCGCTCCCCACATGACCGGCTCATGGGCCTGCAATTTCCCACAATTTACTGTTGTGCAAACAGTCTTCATCTCCATCAATCAAGACAAGGAATTCACACAAAAGGAAGAAATCCAAAAAAAATACAAACTAAACCTACCCCACCACCTCTCTCTCTCTCTCTCTCTCTCTCTCTCTCACACACACACACACACACACACACACACACACACACA